CAAAGCATTCCTCACATTCATGACATATAAAATAAATCAAACGATACACGATACCTATCCCTCGGTGTACAACAAGGTATGCAGACCCGATGCATTAATATAATTATAATCTACTGTGTTAGTAAGACTCCTGCCTGAGATTAATTTTTTTACACACCATTTCCAAATCAGTAAAAAGGTCATCGTTTGACAACCCTGAGACAACAGCAGAAGGTAATTTCGTTCCACTGGCTAACTGTTTTTTAAAGAAAAAAAATAACTCTCAAAAGCTGTAGACCTACACCTAGTATATTTACGCACTTTATGAATACGATCTACACCCTCGGATAGGTAATGTGGGGAAAACAGGTAGGTTTTACGTGGGATGCCAGTCTGGGAGTGACATACACAGTGGAAAAACTTCAAACGAAGCCTTGCTCTGCAGCATTCCAGTGTACTCCATTTACACATTTGTATTGAGTGCGTCGCACTAAACTCTCTACTGTTTACTGATTCTCCTAGAACATACCTAGCATCTAGATTTTGAACTGTTTTTTAATTTATTTTTATCTATACTAGTTGGGAGATCCCACATGGTGCGGGCATATTCTAACATAGGTTTCACGTTTGCTTTATATAATAATAACCTGTGGAGAGTTACAGGTGTTTTGACGTAAGAAACCCAAATATTTGGAAGCTTTTGCTACGGTATAATCTACATGCCGATGCCAACACAACTGCGATGTGAGGTGAACACCTAAATAATTATATTCTGAAACCATTTTTAAGCGAGTGTTGTTGATTTCATAAAAAGAACTGGTGGTTGATTGTTTTTTAAGAAAGACATGCAGACGGTTTTATCTATATTCAATTTCATTTGCCATTTTCTGGACCATATATATATATTTTATCTAAATACATCTGATATTGAAGTTGTCACTATCACATGTTGCTTTTCTATAGTATAATATGCAGTCATCCGCGAACATTCTCATGCATAAAGTAACTTACTCACAGATATTGTTTACATAAAGTTGCGATAATAAAGGTCCTACAACCGACCCCAGAAGGACTCGATTCCAGCAGAAGTATCGACTAAACGGGACAACACAGGTCAAAATTGGGAGTGCGGGAGTACGTACAGTGGATGGTGGAGAATAATTTTTAAAAAATAGTAAGGCGGCAAAAATGTGTTGGGAGCACATTAAAGCTCAGGGGAGGAAGAGAGAAGGATGTCAGCACTTACTGACCACACAGAAGTGGAGGAGAGTGGAGGGGAAAGAGGCACAAAAATATGTTAGGCAGACAATCGAATGTTTTGCAGCTTGAGCAGAGGTAGACAGTGGAGAGCACTGACAGCAGCAGGGTACAGGATGAGCAGAATAGTGTGACAATTGAGGCGACCACAAAGGTATGGGACTAGGCTGAAAGTAAGGTTCCAACAGGTACAGCGACAGGCCCAGACAACATACCCATGTGACTCATAAAGACCCTTGGAACAACAAGCAAACTGAAGTTACGGCATGAGATTAACTAAATAATTATTGAAAGAGACGCACCCAAAGATTGGAAACTAATCAAAATAAGACTAATATATAAAGACCGAAAAAAAAGACAAAATCACGTTGTACTGCTTGATGATAGTAACATCAGTTTGATACAGATTAGCTATGCAGAGAGTAAAGCAAAAGTTGGAGGAATGAACAGGAACGCAAATCCTATGAGAGCTTCAAAAATGACCTATCCGTCGTCACTATATGTATATAGATAACAATGAAGATCCAAAGCCCTTTGTGGTTAGCGTATCTGGACATCAAGGAAACATAAGACAGTGTGAACTAGAAAAACCTCTGGGACCCTCTGAAGTGTTAAAAATTTACTGCAAATTTGATTAGGTTTCTTCAACTGGTGTAGACAGACAATAAGGTAGTTACGTGGGAAGCAGAAACTACACAACCACCAGTAATAAAAAGAGGGCCCAGACGAGGTGGCCACTGTCGCCCCTGCTCTTCATGTTATACCTAAATCAAACGGGAAAGAAAATAAATGAGAACAATTTAGGTTTCGACGTGAGTTTAGTGGAAGGAGGGAGAAATGCCTTATAAGTAATCCCAGTGTAAGCGGACGACATAGTACTCATGGCAAATAACCGCGATACATTCCATGAACTGACTGGAATATGTCGAGAGGAAGGGGACAGCTTGGGCCTGAATTTTGGGTGGTGACAAGTCCGGAGTAATGTCGTTCCACGACAAAAAGAGGGAACACATAAAATTACGAGAGTGAATTAGACCATACAAATGTCTGGGAGCATGGCTCAACGAAGGGAAAAAATATCTGGAGGAATTGAAATAAAATATAATTACGCATTAGAAAAAAAATCCAGCTATTATGAAACTGAAGGCGCTATGGAAATAAAATTGATACGAAGCATGGGCTATGAATAGGAGTAACCGCTCATTCACACTGGAAGCGGATCCGCGTTCGCAAAGCGGTTGCGAACGCGGTTGTATAAAGGCCAGTTCTCACATGAAGCGCTAATGTAGCGCTTCTCACGTGTCGTCAGCTACTTATCTTCTGCCTTGAGCAACAGTTTTGACGGTGCGATACAAAGCTGGTGAACGCTCCCGTCAGCACGCTCTTAGCGCGGAGTCAGCGCTACGCTTGTAGCGCTCCGCTGCATGTGTGAACAAGCCTTAAAGATCCAGTACAATTGCACGCGCACCTGATGTCATCGAGTCCGCGTGCAATTGTACTGCATCTCTATACAACCGCGTTCGCAACCGCTTTGCGAACGCGGATCCGCTTCCAGTGTGAATGAGCGGTAATAGTGCCAAAACTGTATTTTGTAATGGGATACTGTGCAAAAGATAAGAGGTTCAATCAGGATTGGAAATTCGAGAAAGGAGGGTGGGCAGGTTACCTCTGGGAGCGCATGGGAACAAACCAAATGAGGGAGTGCAGGGGGAGATGGGCTGGTCGTCATTTGAGAGCAGAGAGGCAATAACTTGAAATTTCAAGAAAGGTTAACCTAAACGAATGACACCCAGTGGGCACGAAACGTATTCAAGTACCTATACATGAAAAGTTTAAACGCATAAGGGAAAAACCAAGCCCGGAATTTGACAAATAAATTCCTGCACACTGGTGAATGGGCTGAGCAGTGTAGTTCAGTGAGAAAGCGAGTGAGAGAGGCAGAAAGAAAAATGTGGGAGGATGGAGAAAGAATGCAAGAAAAATCAGTTTTGACAATGTATAGGTCACAAAAATAGGGCATAAGAAAGGAAAACGTTTGATGATTCACGTGGAAGTTCTTTGCTGTTCGAGGCAAGAACAGGAATGTTAAGAACAAAGACGTATAGGGCTAAATTTCAAAAGATAGACACATTATGTGTCGAGTTTTTTGGGGGCTGAAAACACGAGAGGTACTCCGTACCCGTTCGCAACCTCCCTGAGGTTATGCGAGATTTTGCGTACGTATGGTACAGCCCCATGGCTCACGTTGTTCAGTGCCGACGTTGTTCAGTGCCGACGGCTTGACTAAATGCACGGAGTTTCGCTCTGCCGTCGCAAAGATGAGTTTAGAGGATTGGTGGACATTATCCAGGGAAAATTGACTGAATTAAAACTAGTTAGCACAGCTGGGGACAGGCTGGACAGAGGAAACTTGGGACTCTCCCCCGCGTGGCGGCTCAAAGTCTCAACACTCTTTCCCAGCGGGCCCGGTGTCTGGGTAGCGCTGACCATACTCGTTTTCACCTCAAGAGCCGGAGTAAAAAACGTCCGCCTCCTCGCGCAGCATTGCTAATTTCTCCCTTTATGTAGATAGTTAAGATATATCTAGGTGCATTTTAGATTAGATATATGTTACCTTATCAAGAAGTACACGCTTCAAACGCCAAAAGCATCGCTTTTTTCTCGGACGGCCAAATCCTGTAAGAACTACTTCGCGCAGCGTATGAACAATGCGCAAAACTTCCTTTTTCTTTAGGTTTGACCAGAGGAAAATTGGCGACTGCCTCGCCTGGGGGAGAAGGCGGAGGGAGGGGGGGGGGGGGGGGGGGTAGATTTTTTGCCTGATCCTCCAAAGGTCATCGTGATCAGGACTGCCCGGTGATAGTTACAAAAAAGCAGAGGCGTAGAAAATGGGCTTAGAAGGGCGAGGGAAGCAATAATGCTTTTGGTTTTCAGGATAGATGACAAAGGCTACCGTCCGTTATAAAGAGTGCAGTCATTAGCATTCATTCATCTATCCTATTGATTTATTTTTGTCTTAAGCGGGAGTTCCACAGAGCGCAACCAACGGTTGATTATCAGCGCCACCGTGGCCAAATGAGGCAACACTGGGACGGCTAAAATCGGCAGCGCCTACTGAGTACCCTCGCGAGATTACGTTATTCGCCGAGCTTTGAGTTGTCGCGCGCTACGCTACCGACTGTTAAAAAAAATGATCAAACGTTAAATATAATAATGTGCATTCGTGTGTGGTTGTGTGGTTCTAGCATTAGGGAGTTTAAGTAGGTGTCTCCCTCGACAGGCTGAGACAACCCAAAGCAAGAACCAAAAGAACAAAATTGAACGTCCTGATATCACGGCCAACTAAAACTGAAAGTAAGTAGACAAGGGCAGTTTTTGTTTATTTTTTACGTTGTTTGCGCGCGCCATAAGATTACAAAAGTCAAGACTTCGTCGAGCAAAAGTGGAACCTCTAGAAAAGTGCTGGAAAAGTGGCACTAAAAGCGCCCCCTCCCCGGACCAAATATCGAGCCAAATAGCGCATAGTCAGGCTCGTTTGGTCTTCTACGACATCTGACAGCAATGTTAAAAATAAAAGACCAAGAAGTAAGAACGCACCCACGAGCAGGCAGGCTGACGAAAGGGTGTTTTCAGTGTTACAAATATTTTGAGCTAGATGGCGGTACATATTACCCAAACGTGATCGCCCTGGGGGTATATAGTCTCTAGCCGTTCAATTGGTTTGACCATTTGCATTCCATTCATTCATAGCACCTTGGCACAAATATGGCGGATACCGTGGTTTGGGTGGACGCTGCAAGCGCTTTGATTTGAAAACGAGCCTTTCCAGATATTACAAGAAAACACCATGACAAGTACCGGTTGCCCAGTCAGCGGCGGGCATGCGGTATTTACCAACGATCCTGTTTTATTTCGCTCGTACGTGCAGAAGTTAGTGCGTGTCGAGACAGTGAACGGAAAGGTGTTCGCCGGTTACGTGAAGACTGTCGACCCTGTGTCGGAAAGGCAAGTACTCCCCTACGTTCTGACGCCGAATTGCGTTGTGTGTATGCTTAGACAGCGAGAGGTTAAATTAGAAATTTAGTCAGTCCAGTATTCCTGCTCGCTTGGAGTCTTTAACGTGCATCACACACGGTGATACTAGCGTGGCACTCAGTTTGTCGAACGACATTTCAAGGCCATGTCACAGTCACACTGAGGCAACACGACGGCAACAGCAACACAACACGTTGTCCAACAGTCGGGCAACTTGTTGCTCGCTTCCCGTGTTTTCCGACAAACCTGTCACATCCCGGCAACAGCAGGACGACAACGAAAATGTTGCCTCGGTATGACAGCTTTCGGCAACAAAAACAGCAGCAACTTGTGTTGGACAACGTGCCGGCCTGAAATTCGCTGGCTGAGCGAATTTCGGGCCGGCTATGGATATGGATATGGTGGCTTAACCCTTTGTATCGGGCGATCACAGTTTTAACAAAACTGGATCTAGCCAGAATGAAAAAAAAAACAAAAAAAAAACTAGGGGTGTCGCGAACCGGCCGCGGTTCGAGTTCGACCAGGTTCGACTTTTACAAACTTTTAGTGGAAATTTCGACGAACCTTCTATTGAGGTTCGACTCGTGTGCGCATGCGCGACAGGCTGGCCAGTTGGCTTCGGATTGGATGATAATGGCTAAGAGATGAATGAAGTGCAGCGCTGATTGGTTATTTCAGTTAATACAGCACAAAACAATTAAGTTATTAACTTCTTCAGTGATTAGAATTGGTTTCTTTAATTGCAACTGTTCATAAATTTAAAAATAACCCTTCTCATAAAAAAACATTTCTCCAAACTTCGACATGCTTCTATAAAGGTCTGGCCACACCGTCCACACAGTCGAACCGGTCGAATCTGGTTAAAAGTTCGAAGGTTCGTCGAACCGGTTTGACCCGGTCGAACCCCGAAAGTTCGACCAAAAAATCTGGTTCGACAAAAGTTCGCGACATCCCTAAAAAAAACCTAAATTTGATTGCCATTGCCCCCCACCCTCCTCACAGTTTTCCCCCACCAGAACTCCTCCAGTCTTCGCTTTGTGATTTCAACCACCCCGAGGCCGCCGACATCCCCCCGCTGACTGCGCTGGACACCACGACAACAGATCAGTGTTGCCAACTCGAAAATTTAAAACCCGCAGTCGGAATCCCGAAAACCGCTATAAACCGCCAAATCGAAAAACAGCGCAAAAATGACTTTTAAACAATTGTTTTGCTTTAATTCTTGCCCAAAGGTATAATAGCAGTATAGGTCATATCAATGTCATCTGAAAAGAAGCTTTCCTTTCATTATCTGTCACGCCACCTCACAGTTCACCCAGGTGATCTGAAGCCAAAATTGCCGAGTGAGCGCATTCGAACATGGCAAGGGACCCTTCAGCAGTGCGTGACTGGTCAGACTTCCGTTCATCTTGTAGAGTCATCTGCCTGCCAGATGAGAAAGGTGCAGCGGCCAAAACACGCTTCTTTGTTGCAGCGTGCGCAACGAAATCCACGTGCTTCGCAGGTAGTTCCGTTCTGCAATAACAGCACCTGGCTCCTCCTCCTCCCCCTCCTCCCCCCCCCCGGTATGCTATCACCAGGAACCTTCAGTAGCCAGTCTTTAAGTTTGGGGTCTTGTAGCCAGTCTTCTCTAAACTTTTCAGCAGGCTTCACCCGGCCCATTTCACGCAGTGACAAAAACATCAAAGGAACATTGGAACATTCACGCTGTTCAAACGTGCGCGCACAAAATAGGGAGGCATGTTCCAATATTTGACGCCTTAATGTTTTGATAACGTCCAGGCGTTACTCTTAATGACCAGAACATTACTGATAGTAAGCAAAGACGACTGTAGCTGATTAGGGATATGACAGATGCATAGTTGCCAGTAAATCGATAGAAAACTTCTATATCTCTAAAAAACCACCAAGATTACATAAAACCGGCTAAAAATCCCGCCACCCGCAAAACAATAATTTATCCCGCTAAACAGAACCAAAAACCGCTAAGTTTAGCGGGAAAACCGCTAAATTGGCAACACTGCAACAGATAGGTTCGATGACAGAGCTAGTTCCCTATCAATAACGTCTTACTTAAATGAAGGCATGAAAAAGACTGGTGTGCAGCTAAAATATTTTGTTGATTTTGCTGTGCAATTACGGAAAGTGATTGTCGAAATGGTCGCAGCTACTGTCGTGAATGTTCCGACTGGTGTTGAAATCTCACATTACTGCTAGTGAAATAAAATGGCGTGCCTACTCACTCGTTGATAAAGTGTAATAAAAATAATCTAGGAAAGCAAATAATAAAAAATTGAAGCATTAAAACAATCATTCTAATCATGATTGTTGATGCTTGGAACTTGGAAACAGCCGCTACTAGACACTTGATTTGTTTCGAAAATCTTAAGGATGTTTTGGGGAATGAAGCAATCACATAGCAGGCGGTAGGCAAATAGACAGCATTGAAAAATATTTATTCCACCGATTGTTATGAAGGCCAATCGTGTTGGTGTCCCAGTTTTTAAGCACTGCCAGTTCAGCTCAACACCACGCTACAAAAGATGCCTTGGGGTATGGCCGGTGCTAACTCAATTCTACAGTAGAAATAGGAATTGCATGAAAGAAAGAACCGAACAGAAACACTTCATACAGTAGCGTATATCTCGAACATATATCAGCAATCTCTCTTTTATCAGTTAGGGCCGCCTGCTTTGTCATCGGATGAAGCACATTTTCATAAAATAAAGGGGGGAAATACTCCTTGTGTCAAGTTTTCTAATCAAAGCCACTGGTTGATGACGTCCCGTGGCACTTTCCGGCCCTTTAAACGCACTAGCACTTTGTAGAGTCACATTTCCAGCGACTCCGCGCTGCACACAAATGATGGTAAACAATCAAGATGGCGAAGTGTTCCCCGTATTTTCCCCGCTGTCAGCACGGTGCGACAGGGTGGTCGGACAACAAACCGGGCAACACGGTTGCCAGGCGGCAGCAACATGTTGCCTGACTGTTGTTGTTGCCGCGATGTGACAGCGCCACCGGCGACATGATTTCCTCGTGTTGCCAGGTAGAGTTGTCCAACTGTTGCCTCAGTGTGACAGGGCCTTTAGCAAACGCCGACTTTTCATCGAAAGACACAGCGAATGGTCAGCCGACATGAGGCGGTGTTTTCGGGTAGGCCACTTGGGATAACATTTTTGTACTGAGCCCCCACAGACTGCCGCTGCGAAGCGGCATGAACGCAGCGCAGGGGGGTGGATTAACGCGCGCCCCCGTTAGTATCTAAAACATTGATTCGATCAAATGGCACTGTTCGCTAAAACGCCATTCGCTCACGTGATATGGACCACACAACTGTATGCCGGTACCATGCTCATCCAGATCGAGCCGGGCAGGGTTGAGATTCTGACGACGACGACGACGACACGGTACTCCCTTTTACACGGGAGCATGCCGAAATTGCAGAAGCACAGGTGAAAAAAATAAATAAATAAATAAATTGCCAATGACACGTGTTTGTGCTTCTCGCAGCTGTCATCACTAATCGCTAATCATGCAGAAATTACGAAATTATAATGACTAGTGGTATACTTACTAGACAAGTGACATAAAAGAGGGAATATTTTGAACCTTGGCTCAAAAAGCTTGCCAATCAAGCATATAAGTTAAACAGCATTTTTAGACACCCACAAACGCTCGATTGCGTTACAGCTGTCCGCAGTCTCTCTGGCCTCCTCTGGTATTGCTAGTTCCCTCACTGTGTTCTCTCCTCTTTGCAGTCTGTTCATTCAATTTAAACCAAAAAGTTTTGTTTTTAAGTGTTAAGTTCACTTTAATTCGTATTCTCATTCATTCCAAGAGTGCCAGGGAAAGTGATCCACGCTGAAAACGAACCAAGAACACAATTCAGAATCTCAAAGACTGCATGAGTAGGATTCCATGTTTCCTGAATTTATTTTTCATCAAATTCGGAGGGTGTTTTCCGGAGTCTATTTTAGTTTATTTTTGTTCGATTCCAAAATCTCCGAAATTCAAAGCTTAATTTCGCAGTGTTTCCTATGAAAAATAAATAAATAATATTTGGGTGCAAACGTATGCTATGCTCTGTTTCTCCTTCAGTCCGAGCGCAACGGACACTAGGAGCCATCCCAGCCAATCCAGTGTTGAGAGAGTGTCATGTGACCTTGAGCTGCCTGTGTTGCTCTGCCCAAACGGGCAGGTTACGTGATTTTCTACCGGCGCTGGATCGGCTGGGATAGTTTGTGGCATCCACTGTGCTCGGACTGAAGGTGGAACGGAGTATAGATAAAGAAAAATAAAACGCGCTTATATCAATTATTATTTTTTCAGCTGGATTTGGTGTTGGTGCCATTGCCGTTAGCAATACTAATTTGTCCCACAATGAAAGTTGCACACATGTGTGGCTTTGATAAATGTTACCTTAAAAATAAATTCCTGGAGGTAGTCGCTGGGAAGCACATATTCCTCCCATCCTATTCCGTGCTACCCCACGGCCGCACAAGGTGGAGTGGTAAGGGATATAATAGGGAAGTTTCAACTGCCCCTCTTCCCAATTTCATGCAATCACTACGGTCCATAGCTTTCACCGTTATAAAAACACAACCTCTCCCTCTTAAAACACAAATAGTATGGCCCAAACTGGAAACCTCTACAGAGGCTTTTGTCGTAACCCAAAAGTACAATGACATCTCGTCCTGAAACTTGACGAGATAAGCGATAAGAAACCTTATGTCAATGATTCGAAATTTGAAAGATAACTGTGGTGGCATTTTCCCGGGACCATTGACCCTGTGCGCTGATCAGACTTAATTGTAAAATGCCGCCTTTATTTAGGTTTCTCTCGGCACATCAAAATTTGAAGTTTATCGTAATTTACCAAAATTTTACCGGCAGGTGTTTTTTTTGGAGTTCTCCCGGGTTTATCCGAAAACACAGAACCCTATGCATGAGCCACGTTTTTAGCCCATGTGAGTGAATGCGCTTGAATTCAACCTCTCGTCATATGTCTAGGTGACTTACAGCCACAATGGCCACAATGCCACACAATCAGAAGAAACTTTGGATGTTCACGGGTATAGCTACTTTACACCATGGGCACAAGCTTACAGGCGATACTTTGCATGATGTGGGCATGCAGATTGTAGACTAAACTTGTTAAGCGTGTCCGTGGTTTATTATATTTTTTTCCTTTTTGTGCAAACAAGTATCTTTTGTTAAGGCTATACGACACATAAAAGGTTGCTCCAGATTCTGTGTCTTTAGTCCTATCGGGAAGCACTGGAACAATTCCAATCTCTATAGATTTTATGCCTCGTTCCTTCACCACATGCTTGAAATATTTCTGACGATGTCGCAAACACCCGTTTCTCGTAGATGGTGTGTAGTAGATTTGATCTCGTAAAAACTGCAAAACCTTCAGTCTAGTTATTTGCAGACCCGAAGTGTTCCAGAGCCTACAAGCTCCCTAGGCTGTGACGGACCCGAATTTTTGTACGAAGGAAAGTAATAAACTACAGTAGACTCTCGTTAATTCAAAATCTCTTAATTCAAACTTTCGGATAATTCAAACTAACGTGCAGGTCCCATCCTATGCGTCTCTATGGGAAGGAACGCCCGATAATTCAGACAAATTTCCAGCCCCCCTCGAGTTTGAATTAATGAGAGTCGACTGTATTATGATTATTATTATTATTATTACCCGATAGATCGCACCAGCGTGCCAGTGCATTGAAAGCAGTTACAAAAAGTTGCAACGCAGTCAATCACACTTAAACCTAAATGTGTTCGCCGGCCTTTACTCCCCGAGATGCTATGTTTTGCTGTGCCACATTATGTTATGCGCAGACAGGGAAAGGTCAGTGTGTGTATAAAATTGAGAAAGATACCCGTTGCTTTGACACTTCTTTACTATGCCTTCGCAGTGTTGTGCTCGTCCTCTTTGAAGACGCCAAGCCAAGGACAGTGAACGTCATCATGGGGCACGCCATCAAATCCATCACCGTTGTCGAAGACGCGACCGCGGAAGAGCGTCAGCAGATCGAGCAGCTGTTCGTTCCACCCCGCGAAAAACTGAGCCCCCAGCAGCTAAAGACGAGAAAGGAGAACCTTCGATCTTGGCTGCAGATCGGACGAGTGCCCGTGCAGGAATGCACCGAGGATCCCAACGTGCTCGTGATTTCGAATGCCGTCAGGCTCGTGCCACCGTATGGGGCCGACGACTGCTACTGCACCAACCCCATCGTGCTGGGAAAAGTGCGCGGACTCATCTGTTCCATGCCGGCCGACGTGCAGTCTTGGACTAGTCCTTACCAGCCAGTGAGCTAGACCGACATCGCTATATTTTGGTCACCCCCAGGCGGACGCTGCAGTGGTAGCTTGGCTCGTTGGACCAGTAACACGTTTATCTTTTGCCACATGATCACGCCCCTGCCCATTCCCGTGTGCGTAGAGCGGGGTCAGCTGATGAAAGGGAGGCGGTCAATTGGTCCAGCAAGTGCGTAGCTCCCACCGCACTGTCGGCTTGGGGGTGAGTGCAGTATAGGGCGTTTGCTAAACTCTAGATTTTTACCAGGTCGCTTTTAACGTGCAGTTGAAAAAGGGTGGAGCAGAAATGCAATCCTTCAGCTTATATGGGATGCCTTTTTTACATTTCTTACCTTGCAAGTTGAAATCTCGGGAAACAATGACAATGTGATGTATCTTACTAGGAGAGCTGACGGGCCATCTCCAAGTTATATGACTATCGAAGCACTTTGAAAACATGTTGGCAGTGTTGTATCAAAATTAGAAATAAAATTCAAAGAGCAGCTTAGGCAATACTGTTGGGACTTTAGGAAAATTGTGGTTTGCAATGTTTCAAATATTCTGTGTGACATGTTTTATTCAAGGAGTTGTAATTGAGAACTGTCAGAACACATGCTTGGTTTGCTCTCCTGCAGTGCTGGTTGGGTTGCTGTATCATAGTAAGGGAAAGAAACTCGAGTCAAAAATTGAAACATTCTTTTTAACAAGCAGCTGAAACAATAAAAAGTAAATCCTATTCTGCCTGCATTATATCATGTTGACAACGCGTTGTGACATGTTTGTATGATGCACCATCATTTTTGCCATTTAAAACTGGGAGCTAACATGTTTCGTACTATTGCCTTTAGAGTTATAGTGATAGTAGTCAATTTGCTAGACTATAAAGTAATGAATTGCAAGTAGCTAGGTCTCTCAAATAAACCATCTTCTAAATTACCCAACCAGAGCGAATGCTGGGGACGTAGGTTAGAGCACTGCACAGGCTCGGCTTACTTAAAAGTCTGGTCCGGGTAATGTGGTTTTTTGGTAGGCCTAAGTCGGGCCCGGGGTTATACCTGCAAACTCGGGGCAGCTGCCTGATCCAGGCCCGCCAACAAGTGTAAATAGTAGGTCTGGTTTCGGTGTGGAAATTCAGTGTGAAACTAGTTCATCTCCCCTTTGTTAATGCCGTTCAACTTGTCTAAGCGACGAAGAAAACACGAGCATAGTGTAGGTGCGTTTGATTTTCGTGTCGCAAGTTTGAAAGAATGTTGCTACGGACTCCAACCTGAGGCGAGAGTTCCGTTTACTTCACGAGCGCTCGTGTGTGTGCAATTTGCTTTACAGCGCTGGAACGTCTTTTGTGTTGGAGAGGGACGCCGTTACACGTAGCTTTACTACGCTGCATATATTTACGTAAAACATTGTCTGGGTGGCGAGAGAAATGAAACGCGATTATGTACACAGTTATAATTTATTTTGGGAGAAATTACGGCACTCTGTAGATCGATAGATTAATATATGGAAAGCATAGCACGACGATAAGGGCAATACGTCTCGGATGCATCGCAAGCCGACACATTTAGTTCTCGCCTTGCTCTCCAAGTGCAGCATGTCGGCCTCTACAATATTTTATGTTGTGTTTCTTGGGCATCGTACCACTCAACACAAGTCCAATATCGTGACCTTTTAATGCTCATATAGAGGAGTTGAGCACACTGCTATCACAACAGGTGGGTGCGCAACATGCAGCGACGGCCAATCTGGAGCCAAATCTGATGTTCCCAGCTTGCTTGGACGAAACTGGCCATAACTGTTCACATGTCTCATACTCACACAGCTAAGTCCTCGACCACATGCCGTAATTTGCTAGCCATGCCAATGGTCGTAACGTCATCATTGACACTGTGACATGGTGCCACAAAACGGCACATTAACAATGTGCACAAAGACACGTGAGCGTCTTCCAGGCAAGCGACGACCCGAGAAGAAACCTTCTCACCTAGAATCAAACCTACCAGAATGCAAACAGCTTTAAATAGTTTATACTTTTGTTAATGCCGTTGAACTTTGTCGTGGAGATAAAACAATCGAGGTCGGAGTTGTCGTTTATTTAGGTCCATAGGCTGAGGAATCCATCTGTACTACCTTTTGTTATATTTATTAGGCTAATATCCCTCTTTTGTGCCACAATTTGACTAGCCCTGTTAAATTTGTGTTATTCATAGCTCCGTCAGGTTCTGATATACAAGGAAAAAGCTGCGTATCAGCAATATACTTTCAACAGTGGTATAAAGTACATAAAATTATGTTGCACAATACTTTCATACTCTACGTGGCAAAGTTTAGACAACATAACACTGGATAAGGGCCGGGCCGCGCAACACAGAAATTGTTCAAGCTCGGACCAGGCCTGGGACTGGTTTCAAACAGCTGAGCCAGGCTCAGGAGGGTAAATTACCATGACGCCGGGCCTGGGCAAGGCCTGGGCTCAAGAAAGCGGCCCGCACGGTGCTCTAATGTAAATACATGCTCCTGCTTTACCTTCATAAAAGATTCAAATAAACAATCAAAATAAAGCATTGATGAATGTATGTGCCATATGCCATTTGCTTTATATTTTTAGCTTAGAGTTACTGCAGCAGATGCCAGCACGTAGAACTACAGTCGTGGCATGGAGCTCCTTGGTGCTCGAGAAATTTAGCAAAAGGCCTATTACTGCAAACAACTATATTCATGGGCTTAATATGTGGTGAACCTTTTAAAGTGCGACTGTAGACTTTTCCAAGTAAGCGTCACATATATTGCTAATATCCGGCGGCGCGCACGCGTATAAGAACTTTCGTCCGAACTCCGAGCGAGGCACCGAGCACCGAGGCCGCTCCCATGGATCATGTTACGCGGAGCTGGCTGTTACCGGGCGGAGTCTTCGCAGAGGAGACTCTCTCAGCGAACAACGCAGTATGCACCTCGCTGCGCCGTAACGCCTGTGTGGCGACAGAGGACCAGAACCTCAGCCTGTGTGGCGAAAGTGAACGTGAACTCAGCCTGTGTGGCCACCCCAATTCGCACCAAGTATTAAATCTCCCTTTTATTGTCTTTTTACCAATGTGAGTTAGTTTTCTTTTCGACCTTCCGATCCGGGCCAAGACAAAGGAAGATAACACGACATTGCGCAAGGAGATTTTGCAACCGAATATAAATCCGTCCATGGATTCTGGGTATTATTTGAAGTAGTTTACAGACAATCTTTTTTTTTTTTTGGCAATTGTGCCCGATTTGTGAAAATTAACTCTCCATAAAGCTTATGTTGCACTGCCATTTTGGGGTCGGGATAAATCTGACATTCATATTAATGTCTCTTGAAATTCTGAAAAAGCAATGATACTTTCCTGAACGCTCAACGAAATTTTGAAACAAGGACGGACAACTCTAGCTTTCCAGCTAGGCTCTTGGTCCAATCCAGTTGGGTCCCTACCAGTGGTTCAAATTGTCCTCAGGGAAGGATCCTCATAATGCAACAAGTTTCCTGACTAGAGGGTTGGTGAACCGAAATTTGGATTTCAGAAAACAATGAAGGAGTTCTAGGCAGGACGCTACAGTCCCTACAACACTACTCGTAAGGCCATATATCGAATGGACGGCCGTATTTTTGGGAAAAGAGGTCGAGATTGAACGAGGCCGACGAGGCGCGTGACGTCAACATATCTTGTTTCCTCCTCTCTTCGCTTCGCCCCCTCAAGGCGGCGAGGCGGAGAAGACGCAAGGCTGTTCCCTCTCCTTCTCGGAGAAACAAGACATTAGCATATCTATCCAATGTGCCTCCTTTTCTTGAGAAATACGGTCATCCGTCCAATATATCGTTATATGAGTGATGTCTTGATGTTTGTAGCACCCCGTTGCACGCTTTTGCCGCCGTGTTTCGTGGAATCCAGATTTCAGTTCAGCATTAAGATTGTGGTGTAACAAACTAAAAAATGTTGGTGCTTTACGCGCCAAGCCAACGAATGGCATCTGGCACACACCAGCGGATGTCAGAGGATTAATTTTGACCACTCGAGAATCGCTTCACATGCAACCGAGGCGTCCTCGGTCGAAATGGTGGTGTAGCAAACTGACTAGGTGATTTTGTAAATGTGCAACTGTATTTTTAACCTCGTTATACTTTGGCTCCGGTAACTGCAACTAACCCCCTTTAGCGCGCTGCCTTTAGACTAAGAACAGCTTGGATCACGATTATGCATAGCCTTTAGACTTAAAACAGCTTGACATTTACTGTGAAAATGCATGCTCACTGTTTAATACACAAATACTATAATGTATGCATCAACTCCCACGTCGTGTTCATGGTGTTGCTTTAATGCTGGGTTCAAAGATGATGATGGTCATTGCTTGTGCTCCTATACCGCCTACAGATCTATGCATAAAGAGTTGTGTGAAGGCATGTCCAAAGCAATTATTGTATCTTGTTTGTACAAACAAATGTGACCCATTCATAACTAAACAATTTTATAGATAACTTTCCACAGAGGTGCAACAAACAAAATGAGATGATACTGCATCATCCTGAAGTCCATAAAAAATGTGTTTTACATGTGTAATGTCCCTTGTAGCAGACCAGTTCATCGTGTCATTCAGACATCACGTTGACGCTTGTGCATTTCGCCAGCCGTGACGAAACGGAACGTATGAGAAACAAGCCACCAAACAATCTTCACATTCCTAAAACTGCAACTGCTAAATATGTTCTTCATGTATCTATACATATGCACAACTATCTGAATTGGACCAACAAACAAGCAATTCCGGTCGCTTGCCCCCATGCTTGAACACGTGAAACAGACGGGAAATGTGAATGCCGTCATATCAAAGAAGTCCAACATCTCACGAAAAGAAGAATGGTACGATGCAATCAACGTCGGCCGGCGTCGAGCCCCCCCCGCGAGGTCAATCGTCCCAAATAGCAGGTCAGTCCAGGGATGCAGATGAAGCATCGGAAACTGCGGGAACGATCACAACAGAGTGCTGTCCTCTTCTCTGCACGAACAGCGTGGAAAGTTGCAGCACGGCTGTAACCAGGGAAGCCAGAAGGTGTTGATGAAGTTGAACTGCTGCGGCAGCGAATCGAGAGACGCTTCGTGACCCCTGAGGGCGTCCTTGACGGCCGCCAGCACCTTGTGGACCCGCGGATCGGAACTCGCAGACAGCGGATTTCTCTCGGAAGGATCCGTGTCCAGGTGGAACACGAGTGGGGGATCGTGGTGGAGCACGTAGCTTCCGTAGCAGTGGCACACGTACGGGCACTGGCTCTCGTCCGAGCTGTGGAAGTGGACCTTCCAGACTCCGGAACCTGGAAGGAAAAGCTATGATTAGAGTATTGGCACTCCATTTTCTGATTTATTTGCGGGCAGCGCCATTTCAATGCTTAGTGCAGAGCGAGTGCAATTGGCAATCATTACAGTTCGGAAATGCGGTTCCCTGAGCTTTAGATATGATGCCAGGGGGGCGATATCGTCTTGCTTTGTCGCATACTGTTGTAACATTTCTGGAGGATGGAAAACAGTTTCCTTGTTATCACATAAAGCTTTAAATAAGTGGCAACAGAGATTTCAAGCACAAAGCTGGCCAAAGTGTTGCTACTTTGAGGCGTAGCTTATTCAATGGCTCTAGAGACTTGTAAAGGGAACTGTTGTTCAATTCCAAAAGCCGCAAATAGATCGTGAAATTATTTTACAGCTCTTTTTGAAATAGTAGTGATGGGCCAAACTTTTGCCGAATCTTGGGATTTAACAGAGCCCAACTTTAGACTAACTTTTCTAAAGATTCGACAAGGATTCGCCAAAAATACATTGTTACCAGACAGTTTATATTTTGTTTTTTCTGGCAAAAAGTTTTTTTTTTCTTCGCTTAAATGCAACACGTAATGCATATTGACACAGTTATTACTAAATAAAGTGATATTATGTAGCATTCTAGGGTGTTTACTGGCAATTTTACAGTGAATTCTTGCAGAAGTGGCGTGACAATGAGGTTGGGTAGTAGCAGGTGCAATCACGAATCATACTATGAGAGTTTCGGTTTTGAAGCCTCATCAGCACAAGCCTGCAAGTGTATGTACATTGTTAAAATAAAGGCAATAACACTGCGTTTTTACTTTCTCTGATAGCCACCATTTTGTGCGCGAAAATGGATGCAACGGTTGCTGAGCCTCCACCAGAATAGATAACATTATTATTGCAAATATGCATGTTTTTCGATTTGAGTCACTTGATGTCAGCTTTGCATGAAAGTGTGCGTCCCATATTCGTGATGTCTCACTTTTAGCCTTTAAAATGTTGGTTTTTGGTGTTAGGACACACAAACATTTAGGAAGATGGAAAGAGTTAGGAATGTCGGATGTGCAACTTTGAGCATGATAGTTCTGTTCACTTTTATGCAGATACATGATAACTGCAAAATAACCCTACCATAGAATACCCCACATCTGCACATTCAGCACTAAGTGCCTATTCCAAAATTTCTAAGATCTGAGAAAATATGCACAGCAGATTGATATGTAAAACTGATGACCGGACAAGCGCCCATCCCCCATTTTTTCGATATTATCTCTAAATTTTGAGTGGGCACTTGTTCGGTATTTTATGGCAATTAAAACAGCAATATTATTCTGTTTTGGCACGAACTACTTGTGATCCGAAAATAGGACTGATATAATCGTGAGGAGTGCTTTAAAGTAATTGTCAGTCAATGTTTTAACTACCTCTTTGCATCGCTGGAAAGGCCAAATGAAAATCACGCTATCCAGAATGTACCGCATCATTTGTTACCTGCTCAGTGGGCTGCGTAAACTACTGGTCGACCTATTGTTCTTGAGGCAGAAATTATTGAAGAGAATGACACTCACAAAGGCTCTTGAACGCACAGTTACCATGTTGCCTACTCAACACACCTCTCCATAACCGCTCGTTGTACTACACTGTATGATGGTTACCGCACGACAGCAAGGCGTCCGTTTGCAATCCATGGCCCCGTCCAACTGCCCTGTCCCGTTCTCGCACGTGCGCAGATATCTGCTGAATTTTAGCCGAATTTTTGGCGAATTTTGTTGAACCAGGCGTTTGGCAGATTCGGTCCATCACTAGTAAATAGTGAGCCAATGATAGAACCCAGCACAAGAATCCTAGCTCATTTAGGTGCATTAGAAAGCAACTTTACTGCATTTTTACGAGTTTTGGGTTATGATCTGATTAGTCAAAGTCGGCGACCCTGAATCACGAGATATAATTTGTTTTTCGGTAGTAGTGTATATATAATTTTGCAGATATCACATATCCAAGTTTCGTTCCGGCAGCATGACAGAACCGAAACTACCGGCTGGAGCACCTTGGCAACACTAATAATCAGCTGCGCGTCGACGGCATGACGTAGATCTCGTCTCACGCATCTGAGCCGACGCACCGACACAGCCCGCTCAGTCGCAAGTAAAGCTTCAAAACGGAAGGTAAATTGCACATGTTATTTTTTACCACTGCACTTTCTAAATATGCACCAAATGTAGTAAGTGTTAATGTGTATTTATAAATTTGCCGGCCGAAAAGCAAATCAGACTGCTATAAATAATATGATGCAGTCAGTGCCGGCGCAGCGTGACTGTATTAGTTTCTTGCTCACAGACCAAGAGAAAAAAAAATAATAATGGAAGACAGATGGACAGTTGGTATCGACAAGCGGTCTAAGGTGTTAAAGCTAAGGTGCCTTTATGTGTATGCTAGTCAGAGCTGCTGCGACCTGCAATTAAGCAGCGACTGTTTGATGTCATCTGTGTTTCTCATACTTCAAGACCTCTCGGAAGCTGTTTCGGACTTATGTATACTACACTCAAGTTATAGACGATTGCAAGTATGCTGTCCCGACTGGTGCCCCATGCGCGTGAAGGCAAATTTGCCAGACATGTGATTGCACATGCTTGCCACCATGAGCGGAGCCTGGGTGCCCTGCTTGCGAACGTGTATAACGCGGTCGGCTCGAATGTGATGCACCGTTCATCCTTGTTCCCAGCTCCAGCAGAAAGAAAACTATATAGACCACGACCAAAAAAACATGATGATAATAGCCGACGTATTCAGACGATAGTGCAGCGCACAACACAATTTTTTTTGCTTGTCACTCATGATCTCTGGTTATAACACTTCTGATTTCGTGATGGAAGCTTACGTGAACGGAGGAACGCAGTGTACCACTTACCGTGTTCAGCATGCTATTAAAAATGAAGATTATAGTCGTTTTAATTTTCCCGTATGATTGCCATCATGTAACCGGACAAGTGTGGCCACGTATTCTCTAGATTGCTTTCATTTTTCTGTTTTAGTTAAGAGTCAAGGCCTGTCCGATGCTGTGTTTTTTCTTCCTCGTAACTACCAACTCACCCAGTTCTCAACTCGCTGTAAGCAGTGGCGTACCAACTTGTTTTTGAGTGGGGGGGGGGCAAACCAACCCCCCCCCTTGCCGGGTCGTATATTTTCATAGTGACGGGCCGAACTTTCGCCAAATAAAAAGTTTGGCGCCAAATCTTGGGATTCGGCGGAGCCGAACTTTTCTAAAGATTCGGCAAGGATTCGGCAAAAATACACTGTTACCAGACTTAACGCTGACATTTAGTTTTTTTCTCACGAAAAAAGGTTTATGCTTTCTTTACTTAACTTAAATACAATGTGTAGTGTTTGCTGACACAGTTATTACTAAATAAGGTGATATTCTGCAAGACAATTGTATCGGTGTGTTTACATTGTTAAAATAAAGGCAATCACTGCATTGTTACTTTCTCTGGAAGTCGCCGTTTCGTGCGCGAAAACGAATGCAACGGTTGCTGAGACTTCCCCAGAAGAGATACTAATTATATTACCGTAAATATGCATGTTTTCCGATTTGAGTCACTTGACATCAGCTTTGCATGAAAATGCGTTCGATATTTGCAACGTGCCGTTTGTAACCTTTAAAATTCCGGTTTCTAATGTTAGGACACACACAGACGTTTAGAAAAATGGGGAGAGTTAGGAATGTCGGATGTGCAACGTCGAACATGATAGTTCTGTGTTTAGTTTTATGCAGATACATGAAAATCGCAAAATTACGTGAACTAAAAAGCAATATTATTCTGGTTTGGCACAAACTACTTGTGAGCCGAAAATAGGATTGTTATAATAATAATAATATTAATAATGATTTTATTTGCACATACTGGCGGGGCTAGGCAGATAGGTGAAAACCCTTACGCAGAGTGCCTGCCAGCCCGCCACCAGATGTGAAAAAACACAACCGATATATAAATGCACAGAATATACACACTACGGAAAGTGCGTAAAAAGGAAAGAAAAGAAGGGGGAAAATATGTATCACAATATGACGAGGATGCCAGCTGCATCCTATACATGCTGGCAAGCTCTCGTGACTCTGCCCCGTTTGACGGCATGCGGCTGCGAACACTGAGCGAAATTGTCAGTTGTCAGTCAATGCTTTAACTACCTCATTGCATCAATGGAAAGGTCAAATGAAAATCACGTTATCCAGAATGCACCGCATCATTTGTCACTTGCGCAGTGGACTGCGTAAATTACTGGTCGATCATCTGTTCTTGAGGCAGAAAATATTAAAGAGAACCATACTCGCAAAAGCTTACAAACGCAGTTACCGTGTCGCCTACTCCACACCTCGCCGTAACCGCTGGTTGTACTAAACTATACGATGGTAACCGCGCGACTGTGCGGCCTCCATTTGCGATCCATGGCTGTCGCGTCTGCGCGTGCGCAAACATTTGACAAATTTTTGCCGAATCTTTGCCAAACTTTTTTTGTACATTTCGGCATGTGCCGAACTTCGCCGAATCTGAAGTTCGACAGATTCAGTCTATCACTAATTTTTGCTGCGCAGGTGATAGACATCCTAGCAACAACGCTCACGCCGTTGCTAGGGTGTCTGCACGAAGCAATTCAAAATAGATCCGTTCGATTCATACTTACTAATTATCACCGCACTGCCAGCGTAACATCCGTGAAATCAAGTTTGAACCTACCTAATCTTGCATCGCATAGAGAAGTCTTCCGTTTGTGTCTGTTTCACAAAATCTACTACCACAATCATACTTTCCGTGACAAGCTATTAGCATCTCCTTTTTACATATCACTACGTCTCGATCACCGACACGAGATGGTCATACCTTCATGCAACACTACTACTTTTCACAATTCATTCCTACCCCAAACCACAGTGTTGTGGAACCACCTTCCAGCGTCTGTGGTATCAATATCTGACAGCATTGCTTTCATAAATTGCCTTAACAATGTTCACATTTCAGCATTTCACTAATATGTACATATTGTTTTTCATTCATAGGTTGTTATTTATTGTATGTTGTTGAATTCCAGTGATGTAACCTGCTCCCCTTCGGGCCCTGAGGGTACTTTTAAATAAATAAATAAATAAATAAATAAATCACACATTTAGAGATTTGCGCATTGGCGACATTCGAAAGCTATATTTCAGTCGAAGCAGACTTACCGTCACGGGGAATGTAACGCACGGCGTGGACGTTGGTGCCACAGTAATGGAAGAGGAACTCATGGGGGCTGGATTGGGTGTCGTTGCGGAGCAGTGGCAGCAGGCTGGTTCCATCGATGGTCCGGTCCTTGGGCGGCTCCAGTCCGGCGAGGTGCAGCACGGTGGGCAGCATGTCCATCTGACTCGTCGCCGCATCCACCCTGAGTCCCGCTGGGATGCGTCCCGGCCAAGAGACGACGGTGGGCACTCGAATCCCGCCTTCCCAACCACCCATCGTTTTTCCACCTGCAGTGAAAAAATGGGCCACGTGTTTTACAGCGTGTATGCTAATGCTTCGAACTCGCTTAAGACGGTCCGCAAAAGTTGGTTTTTCGATGTGTCGCGTTGCGATTTGCTACAGAAGTGTGGCTAGGTGCTGGAAGTTGGGGTGAAAATATCGACGGGCAAACTTGGATCATTCAAAAGAAAAAAAATCCTGTTCTGGGCGGCCTATGGAGGTGCCTCGCAAACGGTGCCATAACAGTGCCTGCAGCCTTGTGTGTGCAGCCAACATATGGTACAACGTCAGACACGAGAGGAACTGGAGCCTAGGTCGACCATCTCCGTAAAAAAAATGGGTGTCCTGAGAGATTTAAATATGTGCTTTTGTATTTGGTTTATTTTTTTTATAATTATCTCACTTCGAAAATTGTGTTTTAGAAAGAGCACTACACTGAAGGAAGAGGAGTCAAAAGCTTTCGGAAGATTGCCAGCTAAGCTCAGCATTGGCACGCCCTAGGTCCATGGATGACACGCCACCAACCTCCGTCAACGGCATTTCGCAGACAGCATGCACCGTCTGCGAAACGCCGCCGTAAGCCGCCCAATACAGGTTTGTTTTTTTTCCCTTCTGAACAAGGCAAGTTCATCCGTCGATATATTCACAGCCTGTTTTCACAACATCTTGTTTTAGACATGAAGCTGTGAATGCAGCGATTGTTTATGTGGTGTCAAATAAACATCAATAATACCGATTGTAACATCTTTGTGCTTGGATAAGTCAGCTCTGCCACAGCTTTGTGCCAAATCAAAAAGGTGAAGGAGTAGATACAGCTGTTTATTCGTGACTAAGCTAACATTTCAAAGCATTTGAAAGCCAAAAACACGAACATCCAAAACAAGGTAGAATGAAAGATCTGCTGCCGAAACCAGCATGACAATCCCCAAAAACTTTGACCACAAATGAAAGTTGAGTTTGTGCACTATACTTTAGAAATGCATAAGCTCGTGCTCTCAGCCTCCTAAAGACTGTACACCCATGGACGAATAAAATGTTAAAAAGGCCAGGAAAACTTGTACAAACCTCTGTAAACCCCGTTGTACCCTCCCTCTCGCTGTCCGTCCAACCCGACCTCCTGGACATGACCGCCGTTGTCCGACGTGAAGTAGACGAACGAGCTCTCCGTCTGCCCCGTCTCCTCGAGCACCTCGAGGATATGTCCGACACCCCAGTCCAGTTCCTCCACGTTGTCCCCGTAACGGCCGTGGTTGCTCGACCCCACAAATGCAGGGTGAGTGAATAATGCGGTGTGCACGTGCACAAACGAGACGAAGAGCAGGAACGGCTTGCGGTCCGCCACCGCAGAGCGCACAAAGCCCTCCGCCTCTTGCACGATCCGCTGCGTGAGTCCCGGCAGCCGCAAGGGCTGTTCGACGACATCCAAGTTCCTCATCAGGACGCCATCGAGGGTGGGGATGCTCTTGACGAAGAGCACCACCAGGCCAGGATTCACAAAGAAGAGGGTGAAGACAAAGGAGGCGAGGACGACTCTTCCACGGCGGAGGAGGAGGTAGGAGAGGGATGCGCTGATCGCCATGAGGGTGTAGCAGGCGTGGAGGCAGTGGGGGTAGTATGTGGTAACCACGCTGTCGCCGCTGTCTCCAAAGTCCTTGAGGTTTGTGAGCGGGAGTCCGTAGAAGTGGTCGAAGCCATGGTTGAGCGGGTGGTGGCACGGGTCGCCCATGGAAGAACAGTACAGGCCGAGGTGCCACTTCCCTGCGGGAAATGTCGCTAGGCTTCAGAACACTGAAATAGCTTTGATTGCGACGTCCAATAGCTGGAACTCAAGGCTGGGAAGATTACGGCTTAACTGTACAAAAATGGGATATGTCCCTTTTATACGATCATAAGTTAGCTAACGCAAATTTTGTCAAGGAGTAGAGCCTTCTATAATGCTCTGTGGGCCATGATTAGCACAGGATGTATCTCCAGATATTAGAATAGACACCTGTGTCAGCATGTCTCACAAAACTTTTGGGTTTGACATGGCATAACTGCATGTTGATTGGTCTGCAGCTGTTTTGATCTACTCCTGTAATCACTTGACGGCAGTAAATGTGTGTTGTAGCATTTTAAAATTTCAAATTGGCAGTTCAAGGGTATTAGTGGTGTCATGCAAGGGTGAAGATTGAAGCCACCCCCAAAAAGCTGCGTGCAAACTGCACAATACTGTTAGCATAAACCAGTGATTGCCAGTTTTTCTCGTTTTTCTCCGAGAATCGGAGGGCTGTCACCAAAAATAGTTTTGTGGTAAAAAGTGATAATTCGGGGCACTGGCCTCAGTTGTAAAATTTTATGCTCGCCAATACTCTTTAAAAAAAAGCGCGAAAGCGCCAATGTCATGTTCACGCTAACAGCATCATGCAGCGTAGCAAGAAGTCAAGGGAAAGGGCCAGCGCTTCACTATGATGTTTTCCACATGCACATGGGTGTTCAACAAGTAAGAGTGAGCAAGGTGTTTTATAGGCTGTCCTTACCTGTGAAGAAGCTGCAATAAGAACAGATCTCATAGTTGATGCAGTGTAGAGGTCAGCCGCTACGTGGCTATTCTCATTTTATAGGTCTGAAGCGCTCTATAACAGATAAAACAATTATAGCAAATAAATGTCTTACCAAAGAAACCCGTCGCATATCCTTGTTCCTGAAGAATTTTGGCAAATGTTGTTTCATTTGGAGGTAAGCCGCCGCTAGATGCAAGTATGATGAACACCTTGTTTTTGAAATGAGATTCCATTCCTGAAATGCAAGAAACCACAGAATGTAATGAACTACCAGACATGTATATAACGCATTACAAGTAACAAGTTACTTCTACCTAGTTACTGTTTTCGGTAATGAGTAACACATTCAGCTACTTTTATAAAAAAAGGAACGAGTAACATATTTAATTAATTTTAAGGCCAAGTAACGAGTAACGGCATCTCAATACTTTTGAGGAGTAACGTGCACAACACCGTTTAAACGGCCTCGTTTTTATTCTTGCCCGAGTATGCGTCTATTGCGACAAGGGAAGCTGGGCAACCCGAGAAACAACTAAAGAGTATGAGAGTACAGCAATATTTATGCCGAACACGTCAGTCAAACAGTTCGACTGGTGCATCCAGTGATAAACGTTGCTGTACTGCTGAGAATGTCCTTCACCCAGCGAACAGATAACGATCGTTGGATGAACCTCCTAGAACCGGGTACGGACCGAATGTAAACCCGGAGGCCGTGAACACGGGAAGGCACAGAACCCATTACCCGCTGTCTTCAAAGAAGGGACAGCTCCTGAAGATTCACCAGTTCTTCGAGAAGCACAACACTGCCGTTCCTTCGAGCGCGTTACTAGAACGACTCTTCAGCGCCGCCCGAGATGTATTTTCAAGGAAGCGGGGAAACATAACTGATGAAAAATTGGAGAAGCAGCTACTGCTTAAGTGCAACGACTAAAAAGAAAACAATAAGCCATGAAACAAAAACAGTTGTGTATTCGGTCGTGAAAGTAACGTGAAAAGTAACTCGTTACTTTTGAGGTAACTCACGCATTCCTTTTGAGAATCGGTTACGAGTAACATATTTAGTTACTTTTTGAGCAAGTAACGAGTAGGGGTATTTAGTTACTTTTGGCGGATAATGTGTACATGTCTGTGAACTACCAAGACAACATTCAATTTGCATTTATAGATCGACTTTACTGCCCATCTTCTAGTGGTGCTGCTTGATGTGCAATATAATATACTGATCTGAACAGGGGCGGATGACCCCCCCTCCAGGAAATTCCTGCATCCGCCCCTGGATCTGAAAGAGTGGCACAAATTAAAGCCAGTTTCACTATGCACCTGTCTTGCTAAGATACTGCCTGAACTGTAGTTCAGTTTACATAAATTACTTTTTTTTTTTTTTGCTGGTTATGCTTGAACTATGGTTCAGTTTAAATATTACATTTCAGTTCTTTTTTTCAAAGTTCGAGCATTTTTTTAGTTGTGTGAGTGAGCCGTTTGCGGCTGGCCATAAAGCGACAAGCGCAATCAGTCTATTCCCCTACCTGACCGCACGGGGTACCTTCCAGTGAGCAGAGCAGCCCTGCTTGGCGTGCACACCGCCGCTGCAGTGATGTGTTGGGTCAACATCGCACCACTTTTCGCCAACTTGTCAATGTTCGGCGTGGAGATGGTGTCGTTGCCGAAGACGCCGACATCGCCGATCCCCAAGTCGTCTGCTAAAAGGACCACGATGTTCGGACGCGGAGTCGCCAAGCAGTGCGTTGCAGCGATCAGCAACAGCCAAGAACGGGACGCAGTTGTCACAGATGTCATCATTCAGCCTACTGTATAATCGAAATCATTATAATCAATGAGCGGTTGTAGTTTTCTTGTTAGTATTCCAATCTGTTTAGGACGCGGAGAGGCGTGAGAATTCAGCTTCTAGCAATTGATGTGATCGAACGAGGTTCCTTTTCTTGCCTTTCTAACCTGCACCTGTCCAGAAATGCGTTTTCTTCCCTTTCTAACTTGCACCTGTCGAGAAAAGGCTATCATTAACCGTACACCGCACGTAATACAGTAAGTACCTTGTCAAAATGAATCCCAAAAGGTTGGTTCGGCTGGCTGTGTCGAGAGGATATGACACGGGCAAACGTTGGTGAGAAAGGCTGACATTGTTTTAACACTTATCGCAGGAATACTCGAACTAATTCCGTTATCTTTCTGCTTTCCCAACACGATGTTCCAGAGCTATCACTCCCCAATGATGATTCGCGACCGAACCCACCGACCATTGCGGGATATTTTCGTCACATGGAGAAAAATCCGGTTAAATGGTGTTTTCCACTTCAACCAGGTGGCGACACCAGTCTGTCGCAAATTCGTTTTCAGAAGCGCCGCGCGGGTAGTTTAAAAATGACCTGAGTCGTTTTTTACGATGTAGCTTCTCATCGCCTATGTGGTGCACTGCGAAGTTCTACAGAACATACGCGTGACTAGAAATTGAAAGCAAAACAGTGAGTTGAGTTACATGGAGATCGGGAGAAAAACTCATGCGCAGACTACAGTTGTTAGTCTGCGCCCATTCTTGTACATTGTGTTTCTCCTCACTTCCGTGTAACTCATTGTTTTCCCTTCAATTTCTGGCCACGCGTATGTTCTCTAGAGCTTCGCAGCGCAGCAGATTTAGGTATGTACAACCAACTAGTACAAACCCAAATCCAAACTTTATCGATCGAACTCCCTTTGTATAAATCGCAGAGCCGCTTTGGCTCAAAGAGTTGGGAATGTACGTTTTTAGCATCATACGATAGGACGATACAAACGATTTTCGACATATAAGTTCGCAAATACAATTTGTTGTCAATGAAAATAAACTTTAAAAAAGAAGGGGGGGGGGGGGGCGAGGACAAGGCAAAAATGTTTCGTACTGTGTTCGCCTCTTTCTTTCTGTCTTTTTTTTTTTTTTTTATGAGTGTAACATTACCCGTATGCTCCACTCCATATATACAACGCTTCGTATAGCGTTGTATATATTTATAGAGTTTTTTTCTTTTTTTTTTTTTTTTTTTAGCTGCACTAAATTTAAGAAAAAGAAAAAGAACGTGAGATAGAGTAATTTGAGTCCCGGGGAAGCGTTAGTGGCCATGGAGGCCTCTAGAAAAAAGATGAAATCAGGTCATTAGTTAGCTAATTAACTAAAATCTTTTAACAAACTTTTTTTAATTTTTCACTTGAGGGCACATATTGTATTTAGAGGATTGGAGCTCGACCACAGTATGGTCTAGCCGTGTCGTCAAATTCGGATAAAAAAAATTCCTAGTAGGCGCTACGGGGTCGAGAAATGTCACTTTGGTAAATGGCGTCAAACCGAAACTAAACAGGAAAGATCGCCGGTATAGTTATCGCTCCGCCCTTCCGGGCGTGCGATTCGTCATTACCGCGGCCGGCTCCACTTGCTTAGGTGAAGCTGACTGCGATAACGACGATCCATGGAGCCAGAAGGGCGGACCGATAACTTTACCGGCGCTCTTTCTCGCTTACTTTCGGTTTGACACCGTGTACCAAGTGACATTTCTTGACCCCGTAGCACCTACTACACATTTTAGAGCGCAGCTCTTAGGCGCCCGTTTCCGGCTTGAGCGGGGTCGCCGTCGCCGTTGGCGTAACCGCGCGTAACCTTCGTGAGGGTTGCGAGGGTTGCGAGGGTTACTTTCACGGGGGTTACCCTCACGAGGATCACAAGGTTTACCCTCGTAACCCTCGTTAGAGTAACCCTGGTAACCCTCACGAGGGTCACGAGGGTTACCCTCACGAGGGTTATGAGAGTTACCCTCACGAGGGTCACGAGAGTTACCCTCACGAGGGTCACGAGAGTTACCCCCACAAGGGTTACTAGGGTTGCCCTCACGAGGGTCACGATGCTCACCTTCACGAGGGTCACGAAGGCTACCCTCACGAGGGTCACGAGGGTTACCCTCCCGAGGGTGGTGAGGCACTCTTAAAAAATTCAAACTAGGGGTGTCGCGAACCGGCCGCGGTTCGAGTTCGATCAGATTCGACTTTTTCGAACTTTTGGTGGAAAGTTCGACGAACCTTGTATTAAGGTTCGACTCGTGTGCGCATGCGCGACAGGCTGGCCAGTTGGCTTCGGATTGGATGGTAACGGCTAAGATATGAGTTAAGTGCAGCGCTGATTGGCTATTTTAGTTAATACAGTATTAAAAATTAAGTTATTAACTTCTTCGGTGATTAGAATTAGTTTATTTTAATTTCAGCTGTTCACATAATAAAATAACCCTTTGCATCAAAAAAAAAATTTCTCGAAACCTAGACATGTCTGGCCACACTGTCCACAAAGTCGAACCGGTCGAATCTGGTGAAAAGTTTCGAAGGTTCGTCGAACCGGTTCGACCCAGTCGAACCCCGAAAGTTCGACCAAAAAACCTGGTTCGACAAAAGTTCGCGACACCCCTAGTTCAAACCGCGCAAAAAAAGACGGACAGGGTTAAAGAAGGACACAGACAGAGCGCTGAGGGTCGTGAGGGTCGTGAGGGGAGGTCATGATGGTTACCCCCTGAGGTCATGTGACCCTCCTGAGGTCACGTGACTCCCTAAAGTCACGTAACCCCCCTAAGGTCACGTGGCCACCCTGAGGTCACCTGACCCCCTCCCCCGAGGTCACGTGACCCCACTGATGTCACACGACCCCCCCCCCCCCCCCCCTGAGGTCACGGGACCTCAAGGAGTAACCTATCCCTCAGTATGCTTCCATCCTCCTCCTCAAGAGCTGCGCACTAATCCGGCATTACAGGGAATTGTAAACGGCTTTCATTTTTTTCATCAAACTTTGATGGCAGGGCTAGACTATATTGATGTCGAGCTTCAATTCTCTAATTACATTACACTCCGTCAAGTGAAAAATTAAAAATTTAGTTAAAACATTTTAGTTAATTAGCAAACTAATTACCTAATTTCACCTTTTTTCTAGAGGCTGCCATGGCCACTACCACTTCCCCAGGGCTCAAATTACTCTATCTCACGTTCCCTTTTTTTTTAATTTAATGCTGCTAAAAAAAACCTACATATGCCGGCGGCATTCTTATGCTCCCAAGGCTTCTAGAGACCCTTTCCGAAATTCAGTCTGGCCACTTTGATCACTATCATCATCTGTGGAATGGGTGGAACGGCATCTGTGCCATACCAATGGCGGCCTTCTAGTGATTGATAAAGGAAGACGTTGAAGATGCTCCTAAGCGGATCTTGCGAGGCCATTCGGAGGGTCGGTACGACGCGACGTAGGAATGGAACACAAGAGCTACGTAAGCGTTTATTTCTAATAACTCAGATTCAGTCAATCTGTGGGCGGCACACAATCGGCTTTAAAGCACTTTGGTGTATAAAATTTTCTCGAGGCATCTGAGTGGGTTGGAGTTTTGTTTCGAATGCAGGTTCTTGGTCACCATCGAACTGAAAGTGATCGAGAAAGAACTCACACTGGACAATTCCTCGCGTGCCGTTGACTTGCGAAAGGGACGGTGCCGGTACAAGTTCATTTCCGCCATTGATATGGCAAAACCTGAACTGCTTTATAAACCACCAGATGGCACTGAATTTCGGAAAGGGTCTAATAGACCCTTTCCGAAATTCAGTGCCATCTGGCCATTGCTAAGAAAGAATGAAAGCGACGAAGAAAACTAGGGTACGGCTGATCACTAAATGAACAAAATATGAATTATAATCGAGTAAGGATCTTTTCAGCCACTGCTTGCATCATGCTCGTCACCAAAACAGTCGAATCAACGTCTCACCAAGAAATGGAGCAGTATCTCTCCTTGAATTTAGACCGGTCGGGCCGCGTCCGGTCTTAGGAAGTCTGTCCAGCGTAGTATAGGGAAGTGCGCAAAGAGGCTCAAGCGGCGAATGGCAAAGGCTGGGATCGTACTTCTGAATGTGTGTCTCGTTGCGATGTTCGACTACGCACCCCCTCCCTCTCACATACACATACGCGCACACACATTTCTTTACGTCAGCTACCACAAGATTTCAATTTAGGTGGTTTTGGTTACGCTCGATATGTCATCTTTTTTATTCTGAAATGTCTGATGGGGGATGGAAGTCAGGGGAGATATCTCTCTGTAGGTGCGCGGCACACCTGCAAGCGAAGATAAAACGTTCGTTGACACTTGCTAGCGGGATGTCTACAGCTGGCAACAAACGTAGGTGCGCGTGCGCCAGCGCCCGAGTCCTCAACTAAAAGTGTATTTTTCGAAGGAAACCGAGAGTGTTCAGATAAGAGCGCTCATAAACGTGTCACGCCTTTTTTTTTTTTTTTTAATTGACATTTTTTATGAGGTAGAGAAATGTGTCCACCACAACAGTAAAAACCTTACTTTTGCAAGACACTTTTGTATTCCTGAGAAACAAATCGCACCTAAAGTGTCTCTCAATCAAGCACAAGCGTTTAGTAACTTTGTGATTACGGTGCTAGTCCAGGGCAAGAATAGTGACGAAATCGACGTTCACAGGCAGACTGGCTAAATAAGTGCCTGTGACAACTTGTGATGCTTTCCAGCCTGATTTCCATCCATATTTTTGCCTGGAACATTCTAAATGCGCGGGTCGTCCAAATTTTCGTAACTGGTACGAGTTGCAACATTAAAAAATTCTCTAGCTAGTGCTGCGCGTCTTGGTCGTCTCGGTTCTTTGTTGGTTTATACCAAAATGTAATCGACATAAAAAGCTGCTTGAAGCTCTGTACTTTCTTCACCTACTGCGTCAAAGCTGATTACATTTCTTTTTGTGATTATATTTCTATTACGTTACTAGAGCCTCGCACACTAACTCTCGAGTGTGAGGTGCAAAATTAAAATGAGATACCCAGAAACCCGTTGCAGGTGCCCTGAAGTCGCTGACGCAAATTTTTAGGAATGTATTTGGAAAAGTATTCGGAGGAGACCAAATACATTTAGTTGTATTTGTATCTTGTACTTAAATGCTTTTTTGGAAATGTAGTTAAATTTGTAATTAAATACATTTTTGACGAAGTATTTTGTATTTGTATTTCGATACATGTTTGCATGTATTTTGCCCATCCCTGCTATCTGGTTACTACATCGAAAAACACCTGTGACCTATTTCTTGGCAATGTCATAATGTGAAAACTTTATATTTGCAAAAAAAAGCACCGTAATACCCGAGCGTTGCCCCATATGCAGATGTACTTCGACAGTACCGAGTCTGTGAAACGACACAGTTAGGGCGGCTAAAAACAAGTTTTGCACACAAACAGAAGTGGGCATGGGAGCTTGATATT